ATTAAATCTCAGGGCTAAGACTAATTATACGCCATTAACAGAAGATACATCTATAGTCTGATATTAAAAGACAAAGACACGCCTGGCAAATGAAAAACAGTGAAAATGGGCTCAGTTTTGGTTTTAAACCAGCTTGGATTCAGGGCCAGGAGCATTAAATGAATCAAAGAAAAGCACTTTAAAATAGTAGAAAAATAAAAATAATAGTAGAAAACAGAATTCATAGTGAAAACACAACACATTAAGATCTGTGGACTGAAAATCATAACATCAAAATTACCAAAACAGAAATGACAGGAACTATATTGGAACTTGTCACAGTTTACCTCTCTAAGTCCAAGTCACATCAAAGGTACCTAAATAAATACAGATAGAGAAGCTCTAACTAATGTGATTAATGAAGTAGATCTAATGAAAGGTTATTAAACTCTCTACCCTAAACAGACAATAGTCCATCTTTTTAAATGCCCAAAGAATATCCACAAAAATTGCTTATATACTAGAACACAAAAAGTATTAATTCTGAATAGAAACAGTACAAATAATTTTTTTATCACAAGACCACAAAAATCAACACAGATGAGTAAAATAGAAAACAAACATAAAATCCCCTATCAGTAGAAAAAATTTAAAGACCTCCTTCTCAAATAATTCTCGGATCAAAAAGGAAATCAAAACCAAATGGCAGAATCTCTATAAACTGTGATGAAAGCACTATACACCAAAACCTATAAGATATAGCTAGAACAATATTCAAAGAAAAGTTCACAGCCTTAAAATATTTATATTAATAAACAAGAATGAAAACAAATGCATTCAAGAAGTAAACAACAATAAAATAGACCAAGGGAGGAAGGAATTAATAAAGATAAAAAAGCAGAACTATTCAACTGTGAAACAATACAAAATCAAGTACATTTGAGAGTTCCTTCTTTGGGTGTGTGGGGGTGGGGGGAGGCATAAAACTCAGTTAATTAGAAGGAAAAATGGGGAGTAGAGAAGGAGAAAGCATAAATACTATGTAGCCATTGAAAAGAATGAGATAGCCCGGCCAGTGTGGCTCAGTGGATTGAGCATCCTCCCATGGACTGAGAGGTCCCGGTTCAATTTCCAGTCAGGGCACGTGCCTGGGTTTCAGGCTCTATCTCCAGTGGGCATGCAGGTAGCAGCCGATCGATCGATGTTTCTCTCTCACATTGATGTTTCTACCTCTCTCCCCCTTCCTAAAAAAAACAACAAAACAAAACAAAACAAAAAAACCATAAAAAAACCAAAAAAGTAAAGAATGAGATAACTATATGTACTGGTATAATCTGAGATATAATATTAAATTTAAAAAAATAAGGATCAGCCCTGGCCGGTGTTGCTCAGTGGTCAGAGCGCCAGCCCACGGACCAGTGGGTTGCAGGTTTGATTCCGGTCAAGGGCATGTACCTCGGTTGCAATTTGTTCCTGGCCCTGGTTGGGGTCATGCGGGGGGCAGCCATTCGATGTGTCCCTTTCACGTCAATGTTTTTTTTCCTCTCTCTCCCTCCTTCCCCCTCTATCTGAACAAAAGTGGAAAAATGTCATTGGGTGAAGATAAAAAAATAATAATAATAAGGATCAACTTTCATTTGTACTTAACAGCCAGAAAGTCCTTACGTGCACAAGTTCTGGTTGATGTGCAGAATATATCAAAACAGTCAATGGTGCCTGGGCTCCATCTTGGGAGGAGTGTAGAGTGACTTATTTTTTCTTTATACATTTAAAAAAATGAATTAAAAAGTAAATATTTTGAATTTTATAGCATTACATGTATCCTTTGATAAAAACTAATTATTACAAATAACTTTTGATTGTTTAGAGTCTCGAGAGCTACTCTGAAGAACTTTGGAAACTTCTTTTGTTATTACTCAGAGGAAAGGGCTCAATCCATAACCTTTTGAAAATGATCCAGCTTTTATCATCGACAGGAAGAATTCTTTTGTATTTGTGAAATGCTTTGTATTCTTCAAAGCACTGAGCACACCCGCTCTCGTGGGATCCTTGTAACACCAGTGTGAAGAAGCTGGGCCGGCGAGGACTACGCGTGAGGCAGGAGAAGGCAGGTCTGCACTACAGGTAAGGACTCTGGGGCTCAGGTGACACAAAAGCCCATTGGCTACTAAGTGCATCTTTCACCTATTCTAACTGTTCTGGGATCTGAGAATCTAGGACATGAGGATTTTGTAACTTTCGAGTTGCATCTGGTGATGTCACGAGTAGGTAAAACAGCACCTCTGTTACACACTGGAACAAAGCAGGTTCCAAAACCTCCGTGTAGGTCTGCTTCACGATGGCAGAGAAGGAATGGCGGGCACTCACCCTTTGTTAAGGGCTGAGCTGCGGCCCCTCAAAGTTTACGTGTTGAAGTCCTAACCTTCCAATACCTCAGAAGGTAACTGTATTTGGAGAGAAGAGTCAATTCAGTTAATATGAGATATATTGGTGGGTCCTGATCTAATATGACTGGTTTCCTTACAAGAGGAAGAGATTGGCACACAGACACACACAGAGAAAACCACGTGAAGACACAGAGAGACGGCCATTCACAAGCCAAGCAGAGAGGCCACGGGAAACCAACCTTGCCGACACCTTGAGCTCAGAATCCCAGCCTCCAGAACCGGGTCTATTCAACTTACTTTGTGGTACTTCGTTATGGTAGCCTCAGCAAATGAAGGCACCCTTCAACTTTATGTCTCTATAAAGTACTTTCCCTACAATTTCATGACACCTAGAAGGGTCCACTGGAGAGTGGTTCAGCTTGCCCGCACCAGTATTTCCAGAAAAGCAACTCTGTGGTCAAGAAAACGTGACTTGGGAGTAACTTTTCCCAGATGTTGAGTTTTCTTTTCTAAGGAATGAATTCTAGTCTGTTAGAGCAAAAAATTTGCTGATTTAGCTAATCTTCTTGGTTTTAGTTTTGAATGATGCATTGATATTTGATGCTTGCACATTTTTTTTTTCCCATTTTTTTTTTTTTTTTTTGGGTTCAGATAGAGCGGGAGGGAGAGAGAGAGAGAGAAACATCGACGTGAAGGGACACATCGAGTGGCTGCCACCCGCACGACCAACCAGGGCCGGGGACAAACTGCAACCGAGGTACGTGCCCTTAGCGGGAACCGAATCCGGGTCTCTCTGTACTGCAGGCCGACGCTCCAACCGCTGAGCCAAACTGGCCAGGGCGATGCTTGCACATTTAAATAGTTGACAGACTGTTAGTGTGTTCTCCCGAGAGGACCAAATATATACAGAAATAATGTCAAGAAGATCTTCCATGGGGATGAGAATCAGGGTATTTCCTTGTCTTTCCATGGGGGTGACTGAGCCAGTGTAGCTGAAACCTAAGAGTGATGATCTGCCACCATGTGAACTTGAGGGACTGGCCCCACCTTGGACACCACTTGGAACAGGAGCAGCATCCGCAAGCTTGACACAGTGCACAGACCCTAGGGCTGCCCCCAGCGATTCCCCTGCTGCTCCCCACCAACCAGCTCTGTGGCCGTCAGTGAATCCTGACCCAACCTCCTCATCCATGAAGTGGGGTAAAAAAGAACCGCCATGAGGATTAAGTGCAATCACATATGTGAGAACCATGTAAAATAAATGGTAAAGAACTATACAAATGTTAATTTACCATTGATACTGTTAAGTTAGGGGCAAGATTACTGGACCAGGAATCATGAAATTCCTAATTCCATCATGTGTGCTCTTCTCTGTATGCTACACTTAAATGAAAACATTTCCTGAAAAAACGGATTTCTAATTCTGTGTTTGCTGCAAACCGGGATAGCACTAATGATATCTATAGCACCACCTTTCTTCGAAGGGGCCAGAGTTTCCTCGCCTGGGAAATGAGCATGTTGGACTGTATGGTATTATCTGGACCTATGTAAGACTCTATGATGTTTTCTCGTCACGTGACACCTTGACAACACGTAACACATTTTCTAAATGGAGACTTCGACATTTAGGGGGGACACACCTGTTTGAGGTAAAATGCCTGATGCCAAAGAATGAAAGGGTTTGCGAGATCCCCGGCTGTTTTTGCAACTAGATTACCCAGGGAAGCCCTGAGGACCCATCAGGTGTTGTGGGGGAAGCTGACTGGGGGACAGTGTGGTAAAGGAAGGCACTGTGTGAATTTCAGGCATAAGAAAAGACTAGCGTTCCAAGTGGAGCTTCCCCACATTCGCTTATGACTACAACATGAGAATTGGGGGAAAGTCCCGAACGTTGACTTCGCCATTCATAAATCTAGGGCTGAACCCCAACTCTGCCAATGATTCCACTAGCTATGAGACCCAGGGCAATTTCCCTTCCCTCTCGAAGTCTCGGCCTCTTAAACAGGCGCAGGGATAAACAGCACCTGCATCACAGTGCATGGCACACCAGCCAGAGCTTCAGCCTCTTCACTCATCACAACTGCTGAGCACAGAAACTGAGTATCCCTGCTCTCCTCAAACGGTTTGGTTTCTACTGTCAGTGGTTAGGAGCATGCCTCCCATGCTCTGGTAGATCTTCCTAGACCCAATGAACAATATTCTGCATTGCACCCCCACAAACTCTCAAATTTCCCGGATGTACCTGGACAGCACTGGCATCTCAAATGTGCTGAGCACCAACTAGAACAAAATGCAGTGGATTTGTCAAATGTGAGCATTCTCTGCTGTACGAGAATCGGAACCCAGAGTCCAAATGCGTGAAAAGCCCCACCTGAAATCTCTGTCTTACACATACATGCCTGCACCCGTGAGCATGCACACATCCCATACCCCACCCCCACCCCGTCTGCCCATGCTTAGCAGACCCGACTTCGACCTGGGACATGTTGTTAAGACTGAGCCGTGAAGCTTTGTCTCTGGAGGCTTGTAATTGAAAAGGGCACAGAGTGCTTGTTACTGTAGCCCTTGGTGCCAGAGAGCGAGGCGTGAACTGTTGAGACGGACTCTAATTACCACTCCTCTGGGCGCGCTCACCTGTTTTGCTGTTTCGGTGAGGGCAGCAGCTTCTGCCTTGCCCAGTTGTTGCACCATCTTGTAAAAGAGGCTCTCTTTATTTTGCAGCAAAACATAGGGCTCATCATATTCTTTCAGTCTTCCTGAATCCAAAACCTGTTAATCAGCAGAAAGAAATCCATTAGCACACAATGTTTTGCAGTAACATATTATAACTCAGACAATATTTCGGAAAGGGGTGGGGGAGAGAGAATCTATTTGGGTGGTAGGCCTGGCGGGCGCTTAAATGGTTTGATTACCCTGTTTTACTAGGCAGACAAAGGCCTAACCCGACCTTTTATTATTATAATGTTATAGGAAAGGAAGAAAACAGGATTTTAGGCTATGATTATGGGCACTCAGCAGTCCTGTGGCATTTTATATTCTGCCAAGGGTATTTTGGGTTGTTTTCATTAGTTAGTGCTTTTGGCTCCGAGACGCTGAGCTTTGAGGGCTGTTTGTACATCTATTCAGAATTGGGAAGTTTCTCGACTTATCTAAAAAGGAGGGTGATGCCACGCACATCAGACGGCAGTGACCTGCCAGCAAATGAATCGCCGAGCTGGTCTGACAGAATCTCAGCAATGTTTGGAAAAGAAGCAAACGCTTCTGGAGCTCCTTTAGGGTCCGGGAATAGGTCACCTGGCGAGAGTGGACAAAACCCTGGCTGCCGAGACGGTGCCTCTGAAGCTGGCTCTGGTTGCAGTCTGTTGTTCTGGGCGAGAGGCTGGCCAGAGAGCGGCCACCTAAGCAGCTTTAGCATAATTGCTCTGCACAGAAGAAATCCCCAGAAATCCAATTTTCTCTTTGGATAAGACTAAAGAAGCAATTAAGAAATGGAACTCCAAATTCCGATGATCACAGCCCCCCAGCACGGGGCAGCCCTGTCTGAACGGCCCAGGGTCTGAGGATCTGTTTCCGCAATGATCTGCCCTCGCCTCTTCCCCGGCCTCCTGCGCCCGCCTCCCAGCCACTTCATCGCTCATTAATATGTCCGCTGGAAACTGAAAGCAAGAGAAAGGGGCTCTTCACTCTGCATTTCTACTTATTAGTGGCTTTGGTTAATGGCTTCAGAGGGGGGAAAAGAGTCTGAAACAACTGGCCCAAATGAGGTACCCAGGAAAACACTTCTGATGGTTAAGTGGCACTTAGTTCTTCATTCAAGCCATATTGAGAGTAAATTTATCAAGAGAACATGCTGGAAATCTAAGCAGGACACGGGCTGTTTTTCCACATCTAGGTATTGCAGTTAATTCTGTCCCGTGGTTTTGGTTTTGTTTCGTTTTTTTTTAAATCCTCACCTGAGGATACTTTTCCATTTATCTTCAGATAGAGTGAGAGGGAGAGAGGGGAGAGAGGGAGAGAGGAGAGAGAGGGAGAGAAAGGGAGAGGGGGAGACTGATGTGAGAGAGACACATCAATTGGTTGCCTCCTGCATGACCCTGACCAGGGCCGGGGACCAAACTGCAACCGAGGCACATGCCCTTGACCAGAATCGAACCCGAGACTCTTTGGTCCACGGGCTCTAACCGCTGAGCCAAACCGGCCAGGGCTGTCCCGTGGTATTTAATGGGAAACATTTATTAGGTCGCTTACAAAGGGCATTTTCCTGTTAATTTTTTACTACTGTGAATCACTGCTAAGGGCAGCTTTCTCAAAAGAGTCCAAGAAGAAATGAATCTGTCACATCCACATAATAATTAAAATGTCCTATAATTTGGCATGGCCATTTAGATACCCCGAATGTATAATTTCCTTAAGCATAGCATTACAGAGCGCAGCCACTCCTCCTGATGAAGAAGAAAATGCAGTTTTAAAACACACTTCTCCCTCCTGCTACAGGCTACGTAAACAAGGGAATCAAATTACTCCATACGACGAAAAACTTTATATCCTGCAAAAGCAACAAGTGAACTTTTAAAAATCACCACTTCAGAGTTGGTGGAAATGAGTTCTCTGGCTATCAAGACTTCACATAATTTTTAATGGAGGTACCACTAATATGTTGTCCTTGTCCAGCTTCCTATTTACTCAAACTTGAGTGAGCAGCAGATCTTTCCCTTTCTCACATCCTGTCTGAAAACACACGGACGCCGCAGGGAGCTTTCCTTTTGAGGGCGGAGTGACAGACTGTGGGCATTTGTTATAAGCTCGATAACTCATTAGACGTTGAATGCTAACTTCTGTAAGAAATACTTTAAAGATGTAAAATTAATATACCTCTTTAATTCTCTTTTGATATGCATTAACACACAACACAGGACCTTACAATGAACTGTGTTAGTATAGCCGCAAATGGGTGGATTCAAGAGATCTGAGAGATGAGATGCCCCGGTGTGTGTGTGTGTGTGTGTGTGTGTGTGTGTGTGTATATATATATATATATATATATATAATGTAGCAAAGAGCACAGATACATTCAGATCAATAAAATCACCCCATAATGAAAACAGCAGTCTTGGAATTTGAAAAGGAAAATAAAAACAGATATGGGTTGAGCATTCACTGTGCCACCTGCTTGACAGTCATCACTGTTAATTCTCAAAGTAGAGTAGACAAATGCAACACAAAATTTCCTTCCTTCCTCCCTTCTACCCATCCATCAAGTACTAAGTGAGCACCGAGTGCCACAGCACTGTTAGGAACAGCCCGCCAGGACTCACCACCAGAGCGGAAGGCTGAGGTAGTGCAGTTAAAGAACGTGGCTGAGGCTGCAGAATCTGTAGATGGCAGAGCTGGGATTCAAACCCAGGTCCGAACCTTTATTCTTTCCTCTCCATGTGAGTACCCACAGAAAGACAATGTTTGTTACCAAAAGCAAAATATTTATTTATTTTTATTCTCAGAAGTAAAATAAGGGTTATGAGAATTTTATCATTCAATTTCCTAAGATACCTTTCCACATGGACACTATCTTTTATTAACTTTGTGTAATTTAAGAAAATATGCCTGTAACGATCAACATTTCCCCTCTCCACTTCCCACTACGATTTTATTATAGTCATAGCTCAAATTATTTACTGTGAGCCGTGACAAAAAAAGAAGACCGATTTCATCGAAGCATCAGGATTAATAAAGTGCAAACACATGGCCAAAACACATTTGAGGAAAATGGAAGCAAACTTTCATTCGTTCTTGCATTTATTCGGCGAACATTTACTGCACGCTTAGCGGCAGTCCTGTCATCGGGCCGGCCTGCTGCGGAAGGAGGGGAGCGTGTAAGCCACAGCCCCTGCCTTTGGGGAGCCTGCACTGAAAGGAGAGAGGGGGAAATCCTCGGGTGCCCACGATGCAAGAAGCCACAACAAGAAGGTGAGCAGCAGAAGAGAGGACTTCTGGCCCGAGGTTCTGAGGACGAGCTTCAAGAAGCAGAGTAGTGGCCTGGGCCTGGAAGAACAGACAGACTTGAATACACAGATCTGGGGGTGGGTGGACAGTGGTCATTCCAGACAAAGGGAACAGCATAGGCCAAGATGTCGTAGGTGTCAACTCCTTAAGGGCAGGGTTATGTAGGTTCCCTTGTTCACCATGGCATCTCCAGGCCCTGGCAGTGTGCATGACAAGTAATAGGCACCCAGTGCACGCTGGCTGAAAGTTAAATACAAAGTAAATTAAATGCAGGGCATGACTGGGAGACGGCCTAGGGGTGTCGTCTGGCAAGAATACAGGGCGAGATCCAGGGGGGAAGAGCACAGCTGCCTACAGCAGCAGGATCCAGGGGTCGCAGGGCTAGGGAAACGGGCCTGGAGGACCCCACGCCTCCAGCTGATGGCTATGGGCAAGAGGGAAAGGCGCAGTGAGGGACAGAGAAACCAAGGCTGAGGATGGAGGCCCGATATCAAGTATCAGAAAAGAGAAAGAGGAGAAGGCTGCGCAGACTAAGGCCAGGTGCTGGGGATGCTGCCTGAATACAGCTGACACATGGCCAGGAATAGCATTTTATCCCCTCAGCCTTTACATTTACTGGTCTGAGCCAAGCGTCGAATTTTAAGAACACATAAACGTAATGCAACTTCCAATTTTCTTTTTTTACAGATAAAGAGGTAAAACTTGGAATTTTTATTTTAACATCCTTTATAGCTATAAGAAAAGGGCTCCTGAAATCTCCCACTGTATCTCTATTCTTCTGTAACCCAAGTTAAACATAAACGAAACTACACATTCCAGCCAGTGTGATAGCAACCCCTTGCATCCGGGATCTCTCCAGGAACGCCAACCTCGAATTGCTTGCCACTCTCGAGCAGGTTAATAAAAAAACGCATTATGTTGGATGAGTCAGCAGTTACATAAGCTTGATGAAGATGTGTTTATCAGGCCTGTGTATATGCAAATATTCCAAGTAGCTGTCCTAGATATAAAAGTTAAATGGACCTATTGCAAAATAATTTAATCCTTTTTAGTTGGCAGGATGCCATCAGTGATAGTGGAGTGGCTTCGGGGAGGTGCGGGGCAGTTCAGGGTGCAGGAAGAGCCAGGCGATGGGAAGGAGATGCCCGGGACAGCTTTCCACAGGTGACCAGCAATAAACGGAGATCCCACTTAGCACCCAGTGGAGTGGGGTGGGAGAGAGCTGAGTTTCAGACGCCTGCTTCTGGCTGCCAGGAGATGAAGGAGCACAGGAACAGGGGCACTTGGAAGTCGAGTCCCTTGATTGGTAAAATAGGTGCCTGTGATTTTCTCTGTGGCAAGATACTGCTGTAAGTATCACCCCAAATCCTTTCTTAGCTCTGGGAACGGAAGTCATTCTTCTCAGCTGGGGAGGATGAAGACTAGGTCAGGTGGCCGCCACAGCTGCTCCCCGAAGCTCCTGCTTGGCATGGAAGCCCCCTCCCTGCCCCTTATAAAGTATTTTTTCTCCCAGACTGTGCTTTTTGTGTTCACATTCGTTATTTTTCTGTCTGAAAGCATGAATGAAATCTCTTGGCCTGTTTTTGAAGGAGCTTTTCTCTTCCGAAATGTTCTTGCTGTGGCCACGTAGGCTTCTTAAAGAAAAGTTCCATCAGGGTGAAACACAGAATCTGAGTAAAACTCAAATTAGCTTTGAGCTGTTTTTGGGCTTTTCCAGGTGGGTGTGTTAAACAGTATCTAGTTTTGATTTCTCGGGGGGGCGAAATGAC